CTCAGCTTTCCCACAATTATATAAGAATAGTTGGAAAGCCGGGTACTGGTAGCTCACGTCTGTAAACCTAGCTACTCAGGAGACTGAGATCTGAGGACTGTGGATCCAAGCCAGCCCCATCAGGAAAGTTGGTAAGACTCTTATCTCCAATTAACCACCAAAAAACCAAAACAAAACAAAACAGAAGTGTAGCTGTGTGGCTCAAAGTGGCAGGGCACTAGTCTTGAACAAAACAGTTCAGGGACAGGGCCCAAGCCCTGAATTCAGGTACTACGACTGACAAAAAATAAAAGAATGGTTGGATCATCCATTCATTTACTCAACAAACATTTATTGAGGTGCCTCTGTGTGCTAAGGTAGGGGATGTTGAGAGAGGAAAGAGGTCATTGACGGAGTACCCAGGAGTAGCAGTTAACTTGTACAGGGAGGGGTTGGTGGTTAGGGAAGACAGTGAGAAAGAGGGTTTATATACTGGTTGAGTGAGATTTCACCAAGCTGAGAAAGTTTATCTTGTCCAAGGAATAGCAAGGGGGCGGATTTGGTGGGAACAGAGTGCTTGTGAGAGATGTGGAAAGAAAAGAGGCTGGAAACAGATCAGAGAGAGCCCTGAAAACATGGTGAAAGCCTATGGACTTGGTTTTGTCATGTAGTGGCCAGCCACAACCAGTTTTTCAGGAGGGTAGATCATTTCTTAGAATCTCCTCTACCTGGGGCTTGACCTGATGAGGCCTCTGGGGGGTAATTTCAGCCCCCATCCTCTTTTCCTCTCCTTTGGCTATAAAATCCAGAAAGATTGTTGGTTGTTTACAGAGTTAAGTTTAACCAGACATGCTGTCTCCCCATTTAGACCCAGGGCTTTGAGAGGGCAGAGACCAGGCCTTCCTCAAGCTGTTTGTTCTCAGGGAGCCAATATCGAGTCTTCAGCCCTCAGATGACTGCTGGAATGCATCTGCAGAGGCTAGCCCTTGCGACAGGACTTGTACTGCTTGAGATTTACAAATAGAAAATAGTGGCAAGGAACCCTTCCTCCACCGCATCCCTGGATCCTAAAGTGGAACACTAGAGATCACACATGGTAGCCTATAACAAACACTCTTTTCCCTCCCAGGCTTGTGAGGATTTTTCTGTATCTTCTTTCCCTTGTCCTTTTTCAACTGGGGTGACAGAATGAACCCTTCTGCTGTCCTGACTGCTTTCCACACCTGACTTTACCTTCAGTTGACTGAGGTTTTGAGAATAAAGAGACAACCAGAAACTCCAAATTTGTTTCATTCTGATAACTCTAAAGATCTAAATCAGTGGGATTCTTTATTTTGTCATAAGACTATGCAGTTTTACTAGTGAGACAAGGCTTCTGATTGCAGAACAAAGCAGAAAATTAACGTAATTATCCTGTGGATTTAGTCAGAGGTTGATGTGGAGCCTAAATTACCCTGGGACCCTCAAATACCCTGTGTTATCTAATAAGCTTCAGGAGCACAGAGCACAGGCCTGTATCACCTCAAAGTCTTTATGTTATATTCAGGGAGACTGTGATACCAACCCTAATACTAATAACCCTTGTATTACCTCACTTGATGTTCATTGGATAGGAGGGTAGGTACATAGACTTCCATAGGCAGAGTAGGCCCCACACATAGTACCGGGCATCAGGCTACCACTACTTGGTCAATGCTAGGGTTTGTTTAAGGTCTCACTGCTTTTGACAAGATAGGACTAGGATCTGATTCTTAGAACTCCCCTCAAATAGTCCACTTTCCATGGCACCACAGTCCCTCTCTGAGTGTCTTAGCCTGAATCAGTAGCTGTTATTGGTGGGAGAAATAATTAAGAAAGAACAAGACTACTTTGGCATTAAATGGAGGTCCTAAACCATTTTGTAAAGAACTCTGGAGGTACAGATAGGACTATCCCAATAGTTCCTGGCTCTGGAACTCATTAGCCAGCCATTGTGACCTTGAACAAGTCACTCAGAGACTCAGTTTCCTCAAATGACCAAATCAAGAGTTGTAGTGAGAACGATAAAATCGCACAAGTGAAAGGATTTTGTCAACACTCTGATTTGGCACTGTGCGAAAGTAAGGTATTCTTATTATGGTTATGTTGTGGTTCTAGCCTTAAATAAAAGTCATTGATATCTTCATTCTTTACAAGGTTTCCCACAGCTGTCCCCACCCTGCTCCTTGGTTTTCCATCACCTCCTGTAGGGCAGGAAGCTGACCCCCAACAGGAAAGGACTCAGAGAAGCTAAAGCTTCAGCCAGGAAATAACCAACTTGCCCCAACCTTCATTTTGCCAGATAAATGATGCAGGCAAATGGTGAGGCACAGACTAGTGCAAACTCAAATGTCCAAAATCCATTTCCATCTCAAACCAAGCAACAAAATAGCCATTAGATCCTAGGGCCTTGAGAGAACTAGAGAGTTAGCAATTGCTAGATTAATTAAAATCAGTAAAGACAGTCAACCTAAGGCAGAATTGGTGGATCAGCATTATTAGGCCCCATGGAAGTGATTTTCCCCTTAGGAATATATTTTGAGTTAATATGTTGATCAGTTTAAGCATATCATTTCCAAATCTTCTATTTTCCCTTGGTGCAATTTATGTCAAACAACTTTTTCACTAGTGTGTGTATGTGAATGTACAAATCGTACGTATGAGAGAAGTTAATGCACAGAAAGGCAAGTATGGCCAAGTAAAACAGCCAGTGAAACTGTTCCCAAAACAAAATGCAATGGTCAAGGCTATGTCCACGTTGCGGGCAACTGATTTTGAGGTTGGTGAGGAGGGGATCAAGGAACACCAGGCCTCCAGTAAGGCAAAGCCATTGCCCCTAAGCTAGCTGCTCCTATGATCATGCACATCTTTCAGTCCAGGTGAGGGAGACATACTAAGGCAAGTCTCAACTGCCATCTGTAAAGTCTTTCCAAAGGGAAAAGACACCCCCTAGCTTAAAGATTGAACCTCTGGGCCTAATGTGTGTGCATGTACGTGTGTGTGTTTGGGTGGGGGGAGGCAGGGAGGAAGTAGACATTAATCCCTCAGGACTTCCTTCTACTGCAAATGACCCTTTGGCTTTCTAAGATACCTATGTAATAAACAGAATCGATATATCTTCACATATACATGTTTTTCAAAGTCCTGCTATTCATTTTACATTCCATTTACAAAGCAATGAAACCTCCAGGAACTGCTAGGCAGCTCCCCAAATACCCTGTAGATAGAGGTGATGCCTTTGAAGTCCCCACCACCAGCTCAGGGTTGGAGCTACTAAGAAACACCCTAAGACTGAAAGTAAGTTGGCCGGCAGCTTCAGCTCCTTCGCAAGCCGCTCTTCTGAGAGTTAATGTAAAGTCTTTAGAGTTCAAATGTGGACCGCAAGCCTCTCTGCCCTTCAGTCCCGGGGATAGCTTGGGATGTAAACACACATGAAGATTTATTCCTGTGGCCAGGCAGGGAGTCGTTAGGGTAAAGGGTAAGGGTCAGGGGCTCAGACTAGTGGCTCTCGAGTTCGGGGAAAGCGGGCAGAAGGAAAGTCTTCTTTGAGCCAGGTTTTGCCTCCCAAGTCGTTCAAGCTTCCCTCTCTACAGACCTATCGCCCCCTCCTCCTCCTTCCTCCTTTGAGTCTTTCGATCCCCCCTCCCACTCCCACACATTCAAATGCTTCCACATTCAGGAAGGGGCTATCCGTAGAGAGTAGCTCAAGGGGCTCGTAGCCCACGAGGTTGCCACTCCCCGCCCCCCCCCCCCCCCAGTCCAGAGGCGGAGAGCCTGGGCATTTTTCCTTCTCCAGCACCTGTCCCACTTGGGCGCCGGGGCTGGGGCTGCGCCTGCAGTCAATGCAGTGCCGGAGCGCCAGAATCACGCACAGAAGTCTCCCAGGGTGGGGAAATGGGGGGCCGTAGAAGGGGCGGGGCATTTGACAGGGGCGTCCCTTCTCAACCAAGACCTCCCCACACCCTTCTACACAGACTGGGGCAAAACCTGGAGAGTCACACATAAGGCAAGAGTGAAAACGATCGCACTCCGATCCCGAACAACGTTGCCCCCCCCCCCCTTCCTGGAGCCCGGGGCTGGCGGAGGAAGGTGGCTCTGTTCTGCCCCCGTGGCCGGTGCGGGGTCTAAGGCTGCCTGGTAAGGTTCTGGCTTCCCCAGGGCTGGCAGGGGAGCCCCGAGAACGGCAGGCCTGTCCCCCTTCCTCCTCCCTTTTCCCCTCCTCCCCCACGTGTCCTCCTGAAGCCCAGAGGCCTGAACCCAGCACCCCCCCCCCGCCCCCTCCCTCCTCCTCCCGCTTCGCCCGCTTCCCAGGCGGCGTGGAGAAGAGCAAAGTTGCGACAGCGGTCAGGGGGCTCTGCCCAGGTGAAGGGGCGCTGTAACTGGGTGTGTGTGGTGGGGCGAGGGGACGGCATGGCCCTGCTCTTGGGGGCGGGGGGAAGATAAAGAAACTTGCTTTCCGCGGCCCCCACCTCGCGCGGGTTCGGATCTTGCGTGATCCGAGCCCTCGTGGCGAGACGCGGCAATGCCACTGGGACCGAGGCGGGCCCTCGGATCGGGACCGTGCATTTGGGCCGGCTTGGGCGAGCGCAGGCAGTGAGCGAGGCCGGCACCCAGGCAAGGGCAGGGTGGGTGGCCATATAACCGGACCGAACCGGGGAATCTAGTGGCATGGGCGCGAGCCGAACCTGAACCGGGCCGAGTTGGGTGGCGAAGTAGGACGTGGATTCGGGGGCGGGGCGCGGCAGAAGGGGGAAACCAGGCCCGGCTGGACTGGCCTGGGCGTGGGGGCGGGGGGCGAGTTCGGGGCACTTGCTGGGCTCTGGACCGAGCGGTAGGGCGGGGCGGCGCTAGGGGCTGGGCCGGACCCGCTGCGAGAGGGCGAAGGGAGGGGGGGGGGGAGCCGGGGGTGGAGTAGGGGCGTGGAGTTGCGACCGGGGTCTGGCCTCGGCCGGGGGCGAAGGTAGATCGGCGGGGCCGCGAGCGGAGGGAGGGAGGCCCGCGGCAGCGCGGCGGCGGCGAAGGCCAGCTTCCGCGGAGTTTGTGCCCGAGCTTCCCGGCCCGGCTCTGGTCGCCTCATGCGCACAAATGGGGCTAGGGGACCGATTGGTAAGCAACTCCGAGTGTTAGACGGTGTTCGGCGGGGATTCCAGGAAAAGCAGGGAAAGACAGGGTCTGCAATTCTGCCGCACCACCCACCCACCTCTTAGCATCTGGATTCTGCTCTCTGGGGGCCGAGGACCCTCCCCGCCACAATCCTTTCACTCTTTAGCACTCCTACTGCCCCCCCTCCTCGGCCATTTGACTCTCCTAAGGGTACGGGTTGGGGGGGCTTTTTTTTCCTTCCGTGGGGGCAATCTAGTTCGTATCTTATTCCTACAAGGTAGTGTCTCTTCTTGTCCCGTGGACGTTGGGGTTCAGATAATTTAACCCTCTCCTTTCAGCTATTAGATGGTTTTTTTTTAAGGAAAGGGACGAATCCGTACGATTTCAGGGCTGGAATGGAGTTAGAGTCCTGGGATTCACCTCCAGTTCACTTCCACTACCAACCTCTCTTTACAGTGAGCTACTTCCATGGGGAGCTAAACCCGGGGGGAGGGAGACGGGAACATTAATGTGCTTTTCTATCTCTACATAGGGTCTGTATGGCGAAGGACAGCTAATTTCTGAAGGAAAGTAGCCACCAGTACAACTCGGGTCGCCCCCACTACTACTTCGGTGAGAGGGACGACGCTAAGGGGATGTGGGTGGGTCAGTGCCCACTATAAGGGTGGGGGGTGGGTAGTCGCCCCCGGAGGGACTCTTCCTTGGCGGGGAGCGAGAAAGGCGAGCCCCGGCCTCTGGGAGGGGTTCCGGGGAGGGAGATTGGGGGTGGCGACGACGGGGGGGGGCGGGAAGAATGGGAGAGTCACGCCCTGCTTGCGAGGGGAGCCTCCCTCAAGCCCCTGGGAGAAGACTGAATGCGTTTGTTCTGTGCTGCCCGGTAGGGGAGATCTGGGGGTCTCGGGTTTTGTACACTAGATCAGGAACCAGTGGCCTCAGAAAGTCAGGTCAGGGCATTAGGTGGAGAGCTTGGGAGAAAAGGAGAAAAACCCCTGGTCGCAGCGGACTGATGATCTCTTTTCCTCGACCTCCCTCTTAAGGGGCGTCGGAGGGGGGGGCGTGGGGGGCTCTTGCAGCCCAGCGAATTGAGTGCCCCCGCCTTTCCCAGAGTCTAGCTTTTTGCCCGGCTTGCTGCAGCCACCGCTGCCTCGCTCTCCGGAATCCGCTCGGTTCTCGCTGCGATCCCCTCCTCCTCCCCTCCCCTCCCAGTGTCACCGGGGCTGCTTGGCTCTGCCCCCTTCGCCGCCGCTTGCTCCCTGCTTTCGTCCCTCCCTCTCTTGCTCGCTCCCTCCCTTCGCCTCCTCCTCCCCATCCCCCCCCCCCCGCGTTAGCTGTATTCTGGGAATTGTAGTCTCTTGAAGCCTGCGATGGCGCCACTGGCGGCCCGGGCGGGACTCCACTTCCCGTCGAGCCCTGCGACCGGCACCCACTCTACCAGGCTTCGCTCGCACACACAGACACACACACACACACCGCTCTCCCCCTCACTCTTTCGCTCGCCGCGGCTGCTGCCAGTGTGTGGCTCTGTCTCTCCTCCGCTTTGCTGAGCCCTCCCTTCTTCCTCTCAGTTCCTAGAGTCCGATCGCCGCCGCCGCGGAGAGAGACGAGAAGGAGGTCGGTGGCGATAAGGGGCGGATGGGGGCACCGGATCAGGGCAGTATTCGGCGGGTGGTTGTTCCGAGGGGGTAAGAGAGAGCCCGAGTGGCGGCCTGAGCCTCCCCACGGAGCCGACCCGGGAACAGGTGCGTCTTTTTTTCCTCTCCCCCAACCCCTCCACCCCTTTTGACTCCCCGGCTTTTTTGTATTTCCCCCACCAGCTTCTTTCTATCTTGAGCCTTTCCCCAACCCTGTCCCTTCTTCGCTTGGCGGCCGTTCTGCTTGCCCCCCGGGGGCGCCGTCCTCTCGGTGCCCCCGGACGTAGCGTAGCGCTCCCGGGAGCTCGCTCTGTCCTCGCCCCTCCCTTCGGGATAGCTCCCCTCCACTTCCCACCTTCGTACCCCATCCCTGCCCTGCCCTACCCCCTTCTCGATCCCCTTCTCTCTTAGCCAGGTGAGACTTGTTCGCAGCGATCTGAGTCTTCTCGGCTGGGCGGGGGTCTCCATGGAAACGGGGGGTCGGTTGATCCTGGGGTGGGGGGAACCAAAGGAATTACCCCACTCCTCGGAAAGGGAGGTGGAGGCTGTGCTGTCTTGGAACTACCTGGCCCCCAAACCCTGATCTAAGGATCCGTGGATTAGAAGGGAGGATGGCCCACAGGGCAGGGCGAGGAAAGGCTTTTTTTGGGGGGGGGGTGTCCGTGGTGAAGTCTTGAAGGGACCAGGAGAAAATACCCACCAACCTTCGAGGGGAGGTGCGATGAGGTCCTCTCTCAAGGCTGCTTTCTCCCCTGTGCTGGGGTGCTGGAACCATGGGGTTAGGGGTACCCCTAGGTGGTTGTGGGGCCTGGGTTCGGGAGTGGGAGTGCTGTGATGGGGGCAGGGGCAATTATTCGAGTCCCTGGAAAAAAGGCGGGGGATGACTTCGGAGCGCCCTGGCTCCGCTGCCCTCGCTCTAGGGGCGGGGGCTGCTGGGCCAGGAGCGGCGGGGAGGGGGCTTAAATTGAAGGAGGATGAGATGGGGGCAATTCTTACTAACCCCGGTAAGCCCGGTGGGTGGGGGGGGCCAGCCGGTGTGCAAGCCCTCAACCCGCTTCGCGCCAGGCCTGGAGGCAAGGGGTCTAAGAGAAGCCGAAGGATGGAAGGACGGAGGCTCTGGTTACGGGGCCGGGTTTCGGGCTCAGGGGCAATCCCCTGGCCCTTGGAGAAGGAGGGAGAGGGATAGCCACGAACCCCACCATGGTTCCCCCACCCCGGTCCTAAGGGGCGTGCGGTACAGACAGCAGGCCCAGCGGAGCTGGATTCGAGCAGATCGCGGCCGGAGAGTGAGGAGGGGGTTTGGTGGTGGGCTTGGGGGAGCAGTCCGGCGGCGGGGCGGGCGGGCGGGGCGTGGGGCTCCGGCGGGCGGCGGGGCGGGGCCGGGGCGGCGCTGCTGCCGCCGCCGCCGCTGCCGCCGCCGCTGCTGCTCCTGCTGGGGCCGCCGCAGCCGTTGCCGCCGCCGCCGCTTCTGGGCGGGGAACGGAGGCCAAAGAGAGTCCCGTGCCGGGGCACAGGGCTTAGGCAGCGCACTGTGGGGAGGGGGCCGTCTTGGGGGCGGGTGCAGGAGGGGGTGGAGCCCCCGACGGGGGGCGGTACAAGCCGGGACGACGACGACGAAGAGCCCCGGGGGCCGGGTGCATGGAGGACGAGGTGCTGGGAAAAGGAAAGGGGGGGGGGGGGTGGGTCCCGCGACGGGCCTCATGGGCTTGGTTCCTCGAGGTTCAGCTTCAGGACAGAGCCTTACAGAGGCGCCCCGAAGCCCGGGAAGGAATAGGGTGGCAAACTGGACGCTGGAGGGGGCCCTCCTCACCGGGGTCCCGCCAAGAGGAAGGTTGGGCCAGAGGGACGTCCGGAAGGCTGGGAGGAGCTCGCCGCACCACGGCTGGGGATTTCGCGTTATGGAGGTGCAGGAGATTGTTGTAGGGAAAGATGTGGTCGAGGGGAAAGGCAGGAGGGAAGCACGCTGCAAACCTGGGAGGCCAACAGCATAGGCCAGTGGAGATGCCCTTCTATTCCGCTTGCGTTTCTCCCCCGCCCCCAATAGAAGCACTATGTTTTTGTTTTATTGTTTTGAAATGTTCAGTGGTGGCTGATCTAACTGTCGACGTGGTGAGACTCATTCATGATGTTTTCTAGAGTAGACAGCAAAGACAGGCAGCCCTTGCCAAGGGTGTAGGGGCTCTTAGCAGAAGTATGGGAAGGGGGTCTGCAACTTTGAGCCCTAGCTTAATCCTCTCAAGGCAATTTGGAGGTCGTCCCTGTGGAACAGGTAGAGTGTAGTTGTGCGAAAGCGTTGCTGAGACTTCTTGGGTGTGTGTGTGGGTGCATTCTCGGTTTTACGGGTTTGCCCCATGGTTGTTTCAGCTGAGAACGTTATTCTCAAAGCCGAAATGCGTTTGGAATTGGGAGTGAAATCATTTGGTAAGAAAATTCCAAGGGTGGAATGGAACTTAAAAGATCATCTAAGTTGTCTATCTTGTCCTTGAATGTTGGTATTGAGGGAGCCTTACTATGTGGAGATGGTAAGTAGCACAATGGAGGATGTTTGGGCAGAGTTTAGGATACTCAAATTGGATGGTGATGTCACTATGTGATATTGAAGATGACAGCATGTAGGAAAGAAACTTGGAATACTCCACTAGGGATTAAATTGGGTAATCCTCAGGACTGGGGATGTTGGTGAAATACTTGCTTAGCATGCATGAGGTCCTGGATTTTATCCTCCCTCAGCACTGAAAATAAATAAATAAATAAATAAAAGTGGGCATAATCCTAAAAAAAAAAGTTGAACATTTTGGTGGAGAAGCAAAGTTATTAGGAAAGATTGGGGGAAATTGGGAGGAACCAGAGCTTTGATATCTTAAGAGAATCTGAAGTTTGGTTATAGAGTTTTGGAGGGGCATGGCCACCTTGAGTGAATCATGAGGCTGTTGGTAGGCAGGCATCTTTGATACGGTAACTGAGACAGTTGCCCTGGAGAAAGACCTAGGGGATGAGAGTTACACGTCTTGGGGCATGGAATCTTGTTGAAATCGGCTTTACCAGTCCAGGTGGCTCAATCCTGTAATCCTAGCTAACTCGGGAGGCTGAGATCTGAGGATTGTGGTTCAAAGCCAGTCCAGGCAGGAAATTCTGTGAGACTTTTTATCTCCAGTCATCCATCAAAAAGCCAGATGTGGAGCTGTGGCTCAAGTGATAGACTGCTGTCCTTTAGTACAAAAGCTCAGGAACAGGATCTAGGCCCTGAGTTCAAGCCCAGGACTGGCACAAAAAGATTTCCTTTAACAAGGCTGCCACTGTAACCAGCTTTGTAGTAAGAGAAGGTTAAGTTGCTTCTGCTCTGGCTGTGGAAAGAAGAGAATATGTCATTGATGGAGGAAAGGGAAAGGACTCTGAAGTCTGGGTTGAATAGCACTCGTCTTTAAGACGAAGCAATAGGAACAGGATAATCATTGGAGCAGGGCATAAGAAACCTATGGTGCTGCTAAGCTCTGGTATTGGGGTCTGGATTAGACAAAGTAGAGGGGATTTCCAGAAGAAATGAAATGGTGGCTGCAGCAAAGACACTTGTGGGAATCTAGATTTTGACTACCGTTTGAACCATGCCTCCAGTCTCACTTCTTGCTGGCTATTTTAGAGATGGGGTCTAGTGAACTTTTCTGCCCAACCTGGCCTCAACCTCAATCCTTTAGATCGCAGACTCCTGAGTAGCTAGGGTTACACATGTGAGCCACTGGCACCTGGCTTAGATTTAGATTTTTTGATTTAGGGATTCCTTTCTTTCTCACTGGCTTACAGGTTCTTGGGAAGCAAATGCAGCTACATCAAGGGGAGGGCTCTGTTTTATTCATGATATGGTTCACTAAATAGCAAAGGAAATATTATGTACAGGTAGCAGAAGATCTCATGATGTGATTAATCTGGTTTAATCTGGTTATGGATATTAAGGAAGTACTTCTTTGAGAGAACTAGAATCCTTGG